TCCCCTGAGTGCTTCCTCTTCAGCTCCCTCGCGTGCCGGCCACTCAGACAGCCCGCCCACCTGCCGGGGTCAGCAGAGCCAGCCTCGGGGGGCCCTGAGGCGGCCGCCTCCTGGGCCCCCCAGGAGAAGAGGCTGGCCCTGTAGGTACATACCGGGTCGCAGGGGCGGCCGGGCCCCCTGGTGGGCCGGGCCCGGTCACAGCCACGACCCCTGCGACCCTGGTATGTACGCCACTGGGTAAGGATAGTATTAGACTAATAACAGTTGCAAGAGAGGAATCAGTCGGGCGCTATTAACAGTTTAATTCATACACTTTTATGAAGAAGTGGGTATTTAATGATTTTTTGAAGGAGTGGAGACTGGGTGAGCATCTAACGGAGGAGGGAAGTGAGTTCCACAGGAAAGGTGCAGCCCTGGAGAAGTCTTGAAGGCAAGCATCAAAGGTGGGAGTACGACATAAGTCTAGACATAGCCACAAACAAAGATAATGGAAGTGCACTCAACCCTACATTCCAGAAGCCAGGGTGCTCATATGGACAAGTCCCAGTACCAAATAGGACCAAACACTGAGTTAAAAATAGAAAATGAATCCAGGCACTCCAATGAATTCCAAAGTGCAGGCAGTTTATTTAGAATCCAGGACCAAAAATCAATGTTTCAACCCCTTAGGGCCTTTGTCAAGCTACTACATCACATATTCAGCACACAATATATAGCAGCAATAATAATTATTAACAAGTGAACAAACCTGTGATATAATACTAAATTCATTATATTATGAATCAAACTTGATAACCCACCAATAGTGATGTCCCGAACGGTTCTCCACGGTACGCCGCAAACGGTTCACCGCGGACTCCAGTCAGTAGACACATTCCAGCCAATCAGCAGCAGACCCTCCCTCCCAGACCCTACCACCTCCTGGAGAGCATCCATTTCGAAGCTGCATTCTTAGTGAGCTGTCCAGGAGGTGGGAGGGTCTGGGAGGGAGGGTCTGCTGCTGATTGGCTGGAATGTGTCTGCTGACTGGAGCATATGCCCCCCCCATATGCCTCACTTCACTGTAGGCTATCGCTGCCCCCCCATGCCTCACTTCCTTGATCTGTAGGCTATCTCTGCCCCCCCAAATGCCTCACTTCACTGATCTCGAGGCTATCTCTACCCCCCCACCACATGCCTCACTTCACTGATCTGTAGGCTCTCTCCCCCCATATGCCTCCACTTCTGATCTTGAGACTATCACCCCCATGCCGCACTTACCTGATCTGTGGAGCTATCACCCCCCACATAGGCCATGCCACTTACCTGATCTGTAGGCTATCTCTCCCCCCCATGCCTCACTTAACTGATCTGTAGGCTCTCTCTGGCTGCATGTGTTGCTCCCCTGCAGATTCAGTCAGAGAGAAGCAGGGATAAGATGCAGCTGTCTCTCTCCATACACAGCGCCACCTACTGGCCGGCGCCAGTTTTGCAGTGCATTTTCAATCTCACACGAAAATTAGCAGAACAAGCTGAAAATTGCAGGTTGGAGGCAAGTGCCCCTCCTTCTTCCTCCGTGGATGCCCATGCCCACATAAAGTACACAATCCCTCTCCTCTGCCTGTAATACAATTAAGGTAGATAATACAATAACTTAATTATCCCCAGACAGAAAAAAACACACATTTTTACAAAGTCCAATAAGTACCCCAAAACACAACATATGCCCATAAAATTTAGACAAATGATCTCACCAAACAGTGCCCTTCTAAGTGGAATAGAAACGAACGCAGGCGATGATGGAAGTTCAGTGGTGTTCCGGAGTTTCTGTATCCGATTTCAGTTCCATGAGATTCATGCCCAAACAACGCTGCTTGCGTTCATGTGAACAAGATGGCCGCCACCTCGTGGTTGTTCATAGGAATCGCGGCCACCCTGACGAACAATTAGAACACTATGGTGAGAAACGTTCCAAGTTGTTAATAGGTGTTACCAAGCTCCAGAGCCTGTTTGAAGTCTATTAGCCAGTTCTTTTGCAGGGGCAATAGTCGCAGGGTAAAAGGCTGGCAAGTAGTCCCCTCCAAGAACTTGTGGCAAACTCACTTTAAAAGGGGAGTTTGTCACACATCTCCCCTCTCCTGAGGAGACTATCCAGACCTCCAATCGTTCTGGGTCTCTGATAGTCTGTTGGCCTTTCCCAAAAGACATAGTTTTCCAGATGACCTCCTGCCACAAGTGCCCATTTGTAGATCCAGTGTCCTGCGGGAAAACAACCTGGATGCCCTCTTCCCTGGTTGGACAATGTTGTTGCTGGGGACGGCGGGTGCAGTCTCACTCTTCCGTGCCTGGTGGACAGAGGCCAGCAGCGCTCTGCCCCGTAGCCAGCGGTTCAGCTGGGTTGGTTGGTGGGTCATCCGGTCCCAGCTGAACTCTGCCCAGATGCCAGCTCTTCTGCTGGGAGGGGGTGTCACATCATGCCTTGTTCTGCGGATCAGTCTGGTGATGGCTTCTGGTATCCAGTACTCTTTTTACTATTCTTGTTTAGTTTTTTTTGTTTTTTTGTTTTTCTATTCCATGTCTGGTTTTCCTTATGCTGGGTTCATTCCATTATTCCGTCCCTGGAAATCCCAGTCCCCTGGATTCATTTATATGTTTGTTTTATGTTGCCACACCCGTTTATTTTCCATTTTCCTTTTGTTTCAGTCTGAACCTGCAGCAGTGTTTCAAGTCTCTACCCTTTCTTGCAGGTAAGTGCTATTGTGGTTTAGTATGGTTCTTTTAGCGAACATTAGGCAGTGTAGGACCTGCCGAATATGGGGTACATTGGCGTTGTGGCAGGCTTATGCAATGTATGATCATATAATGTAACTAAATCCCCATACTTTTCATATATAGTACTTAGTTATTTCTCCTCTTGTTTTGCCTATCATATCTTGTCTTGTTTTAGTTTGTATTCCCAGTCCATGTACAGTCCGGTCCTGTCCTGCCCCTGTTTAGTTAATGTTCCCTTATGTATTGTGTACATGTTCTGGGTTTAGCTTCCTATCCTTCTCTGGTTCTGGGTTCTATTAGTTCTGTCTTGTTTTCATGTTTGGTGACTATCCTAGCCTTGCCTTGTTTCTGTACTGGATACATGTCTGCTGCAGAGCTCCCCTATCCAGTTCCTGGGAGGTCTACATATCAAGCTGCTAGTTCCTGGGATCCGCTAAGCTGCAACAGGGTCTTGGTTTGTGGCCGCACAAATGCTGGTGCTCAACGCCAGGGGGCGTGCGGTTACCCTGCACCGGGCCCTGTAATCCACTTCCATACTGAAGACTCCCACTTCTCATCAGGCACTCAGGAGTCCCGGCTTCCGTACTGCCACTCGTGACAGGGGGTCAGTAGAGGCCGTAGTTCCCTCTCCTGCACCTGGACCATGGTTGGGAATGGGCAGTTGGGGATCTGGGTAGGCTGCCCAGAATCCCTGTAGTGCTGGTGCAGAGACCTTGGTCCCATCTGCAACATCCATGCTAGGGGGCTTGTCTCTGGACGATAGCTCCAGCAGCTGGGGAGTGAGTCTGACCATCTCCACTCCCTGAAACACACACTGCCACTGGGGAGAGAGACCGACTGTCTCTTCTCCCAATAACACACGCTGCCGCTGGGGAGTGAGACCGGTCACCTCCACTCCCTGTAACACCCTTGGCTGCTGGAGAAGGAGGACGATGCTCTCCTCTCCCTGGGTTGCACACTGCCACTGTGGAGTGAGACCGACCGTCTCCCCTCCCTGTAACTCACTCTGCCGCTGGGGAGAGCGACTCTTCTCCCAATAGCACACATTGCCACTGGGGAGCCGGTTGTCTCCACTCCCTGTAACACCTCTGTAACGGATCGCCTGGCACCTCGACTGGGTACCTCCGTTAAAGGATGCTCCTAGCGCTTCCTGACGACTCCAAGCACTGCAGCAGACACCACAACCACCGAACCGGAGAAGCATATGAATCCTCTCAAGCATATGAATGCTGTAGACAGTTGAATAGGAACCATACGAATAGGTTTACTCTCCTAGCAGTCAAACTGGAACAGCATACAATAAATCCTTCCCCCAATAATGAGACGACACTTCACTTTGAGGGTTAAAACAGGAACTCTGTGTACTGTCACATACAGTCTCTTTTATTCCCAATCCACAAACATAGTACAGCCCACAGGGCGTTACAAAACAACCAATCACATCACAGTTACATCCCACATATTCCCTCCCCTTATCCTGAGAGGAAACTCAATTATACATACAGTTAAAACATACTTTCTACCCAACTTTCATAACTCCAAAACCATAAATCACATTCACATAAAATTACATATTCACAATCAATCCATTCAGGGGAACAACATATTCAAAAATGGCACAAATCAGACAAGGGGTTCAAAAGTTAGTAAAAAGTCCTTTGTGACTAAATGAAGCATGGCTTTCTGGCCCAAACCAGTTTCAGAGTCTTCTATCCTGGAGATAAGTAATTCAATTATCTCCCAGGACAGACACAAGACTCCATTAAGCACATGGTTGCAAAAAGACACAAAACACTTTAAAATACATAAAGTCACCTTTTACACATAACACACAGACATTTCACATATCCCCAGATAGCTGGGATCTGAGCGCACAAAACTACCGAATAGCGCTCAGATCCTATTCACACAGTTCAATTGCCATGGAGCCAAAGTCTTTAACTACACGAATGGGCTCCATGGCATAGCTATCTGGGTTAACACATTCACATAAAGTCTGGTCCATAGTCCAAAGGCAAGAGGCGGGCAAGCAGCCCCCTCCAAGGACACGTGGCGAGGCCGGTTTCGCCACATTTCTCCCCTTTACCATCCAGACTAACAGGGTATCTGACCTCCTGCCGGTCAGTGCCCTGGTTAGTCCAGCAACCCACCCACGAAGCACAAACAGCAATACAGCCCACCCACAATAACTGGTTACTACACCTGGATAAAATAGCAAGTTGTCCGTGTCCAGGTGCCTCACCACGGCTGTACGGGGGGCTGGTAGAATGCCTTGGTGGGTTGCTGAGTGGGCAGAGACCAGCGGTACTCTGCCCGGGTGCCAGCGCTACCACTGAAGTAGCCTGGTTGGAGCCTGGTTGTGGGAGGGGGAGACCGACTGTCTCCCCTCTGGATACACTGCTCTGTGGCTGGGGGACAGGACCGACCGTCCCTACCCCTGGTGCTGCAAGTGCAGAGACTACGGTCCCATCTGCATAGTTGTGGGGCTTAACATCTCCCCTTGGTGGGTTAGGCTGCCGCTGGAGAGAGGGTGTAACAAGCTCCTCTCTCTGAACTGTAGACAGCCGCTGGGGAGAGGGGGTAACCTGCTCCTCTCCCTGACCCTCTCTTTGCTGGTGGAGAGGGGGACCAACTGTCTCCCCTTTCAATATTTTGTCCTGCGGCTGGGGTGCGAGACAGACGGTCTCTGCTTCCTGGGATACACACTGCCGCTGGGGAGGAAGGACGGCACCTTCAGCTCCCTGGGGTACACACTGCCGCTGGGGAGGAAGGACGGCACCTTCAGCTCCCTGGGGTACACACTGCCGCTGGAGAGGAAGGACGCCACCTTCTGCTCCCTGGGATACACACAGCAGCTGGGGAGGAAGGACGACCCCTTCGGCTTCCTGGGACTCACACTGCCGCTGGAGATCTGGGCCGACCGCCCAGCATCCCTGTAGGGCCGGTAGAGAGACCGCCGTTCCATCTCCACCTGCCATCTGTGGGTCTTCCCAGGACCAGTCGGTGAGGTCCCTCAACATTTGCGAGTAAGGACCACCTGCTTCCGCACCTGGCAACTCCGGCTGCTGCTGGGGATCTGGGCCGGTCCCATCTGCACCTGCCTGTTGTGGTTCCTCAGAGGACCAGTCTATGAGGACCCCTACTTCGGGTTCCTGCGGCCGCCTCAGGGGGAGACGGCTAGCCTCCTCGGATGCAGCCTCTACTCGGCTGCTGTAACACTCCTTCCGCTGAGCATACTCTCTCTCTTTCGCCAGCCGGAATTCTCGGGCCAGCCTTGTGTTTCGCTCGGCCGTGACCTGGTTCCAGATCACCCGGCGTACCTCCATGGGTAAATCATCCCCATACTGGGCCACTCGCTGCCTCACCTCGGCCATCCAATCATCGCCAGAGCCTTCCATACTTGTCTGCTCCAAGTCGCTGGATACCTCTGCTCCCAGGGGCGCTGCACGTGTGCTAGCGTTGCCCTCAATTTGTAACTCCAAACGAACTGTGTCTCTGAGCTGCTTTACCTCGCACTAGGACGCCATCCCACCGCTTGCCACCAATGTAACGGATCGCCTGGCACCCCGACTGGGTACCTCCGTTGAAAGATGCTCCTAGCGCTTCCTGAGGACTCCAAGCACTGCAGCAGACACCACAATCACCGAACCGGAGAAGCATATAATCCTCTCAAGCATATGAATGCTGTAGACAGTTGAATAGGAACCATACGAATAGGTTTACTCTCCTAGCAGTCAAACTGGAACAGCATACAATAAATCCTTCCCCCAATAATGAGACGACACTTCACTTTGAGGGTTAAAACAGGAACTCTCTGTACTGTCACATACAGTCTCTTTTATTCCCAATCCACAAACATAGTACAGCCCACAGGGCGTTACAAAACAACCAATCACATCACAGTTACATCCCACATATTCCCTCCCCTTATCCTGAGAGGAAACTCAATTATACATACAGTTAAAACATACTTTCTACCCAACTTTCATAACTCCAAAACCATACATCACATTCACATAAAATCTGGTCCATAGTCCAAAGGCAAGAGGCGGGCAAGCAGCCCCCTCCAAGGACACGTGGCGAGGACGGTTTCGCCACAACCTCCATCTGGGGTTGGGGATTTGGCCCAGCTGCCCAGCATCCCTGTAGGGCCGGTGAAGAGACTTCGGTCCCATCTCCACCTGCCAACTGGGGGTCTTCCCAGGACCAGTCGATAAGGTCTCTTATCTCTGGTGCCGGTTTGGAAGTAGGTGATACAGTACCCAGGTCTCCTGATGACAGGCTTAGTTGCTGAGGAGGAGGGACAAAACTCAACACTCCGGGTGGTATACAGTCCATAAGCCCCATCATGTCAGAGACAAGTGGCGTTACTCGGTTAAATAGGCAAGCATAGTACTGCTTGAGCTCCCACTCCAAGTTAGCCAGAAAAGTCAGATCCTGTTGCATTTCTCCTATCCTCTTAAGGCCCAAGCGGTCTTCCCGCTCATCAAGAATGTACCAGAAGCAGGAACTATCCGGCTCTCTGAATGCCATACCATTATCAAACTCCTCCCATAGCAGACCAGGGCCATTGTAGTCCTCCTCTGGGAAGCCTTTGTGCTCAATCAGCAATGGGTAGATGCCAACTACATGAAACTGCAAGGCGCGGTATGAATCATCCAACCACACCTCCCTTGTGACCAGTGCCGCCAGTGTAAGCTGGAATAGCAGTTTAAAGTAGGCCCACTGCCTTTTATACTTTGTGTCCTGTGTTGGGCACAGGACACAAAGTATACAAGCAAATAAAAACAATGTAACAATGAACGACACTCCCACATACAGTACACAATCCCTCCTCTCTGCCTGTGATAGAATTAAGGTAGATAATACAATAACTTAATTATCCCCAAACAGAAAAAAACACACATTTTTATAAAGTCCAATAAGTAACACAAAACACAACATATCCCCTGATAGCCCTGATCTGGGTGAACAACATATCCAAAAAATCACCCAGATGAGAGCATGGGTTCAGGAAATTCCTGGAAGTCTCTTTTTGACCGACCGCACGCATGGTTTCATGCCCAAGACAGTTCCAGAGAATCAGGGCTTGCGGCCGGTCTAGTTCGGTAGTTTGCAAATAAACAAACTACCGAACGGAGTCAATAGTCTTACCCTGGAGCCAGGGGAGGGCTGGCAGCCTTAGGCCTGGGGGGCAAAACCAGTCAAGTGGCCCATTGCACCACCAAATCAGTTCACCATCAATGCCCACCTTTTCCTGGTTTTATAATGGATATTGATATTATGCTAATCAGTAGCTCTTTGCCATACCCGCTCCTTCACAGCTCTAACTTTCAATGTTGTCAGAGCGCAGGCTGAGAATTTCTGAGCCTGTGCTCCAACTCACTAACTGAGCGCCAGAACCACGAGGGAGAGGTTATAATCTGACTGCACCTACTGCTGGTGCGCACCAGTGGACCACCATCAAATCGTTTAAATTGAATATGCTGGTGTCCCCAACTTGTGAGCTGTGTTGGCCGCCGGGTGCCTCTGTTGTCATGGCACCCTGCATGACCGCACAGCTTGCACACCCCAACGGCTGGCCCTGCTGACATACACTGATGTTACTACTTAGAAATCCCGCAATATTAATATAGACATCAGAGTTAACACCAATAAACTGTGGAAACAGAGCTGATCCCCCCCAAATTTATAAAGTTTTGCTTACTGGATTTGTTGTGAGATTAAATCATGCCTCCTCCTCTCTCTCTCCCATGCGCAGCTCTGTAGGCTGGGAGGAAGTGAAGAGTAATCACATTCTCCCAGCACAGTGCCACCTGTGGCTGCATGGGGAACAGCTGGTTAATGTAATGCTTGCAGGACGGCCAGCTGCCGCAGAACCTCTTTGTTCCCGTCTCTGCAAAGGGCTCCAGGCACTGCTTGCTGAGAGTGTGACCCACTGTAAATTAGGGGCAGAGGGCACTTGCATTGCGGTAAAGACGGGTCTGGGCAGGAGGAGAGTGCAGTGCAATCAGTGCACTCCCCTCCTGTGGGTCACCAGTAGACTGGTGCACCTGCCCAGGATCAGAGCCAGTGCAAGGATTTTTGCTGCCCTAGGCAAAAGAAAAATTAGCTGTCCCCCATGTGACATCACAAGCTGAAGTGGTTCTGGGGACTACAGTGTCCCTTTAATGTGAGGTAAATTATAGATTAGTGTCACTAATATCATACTAGATTGCCTACTTACAACCAAATGAGGATGATGATGGGCTGCAGTTTGGCTCCACTGGTCTGGAGTAGAACAGGATCTCTGGAGGCTATTTGCAACTGTGGTCACAAAATTCAATGTTCTGGGAGAATTGGAAGCAGCTCCATTTTTTTGTGGCCCCTTATATAGCTCAAGGTCTGGGCCCCAGGGCCTGACGGTGAGTATGCCCATAAGGCCCACTCATAAGTCCACTTATATGTTCCACCCACCCATGAGTTCGCTCACAGGAAGTGGAGTGTGTAGGGGATGTGTTATGTGTTATTGTAGAGGATATAATATATGTGCTTATGGTATGTAGTGTATAGGGATACCAGTTTGTGTATAGTGGAAGCAGTGTGTATTTGTGTATAAGGGATGTATTGTGTGTTTCTGGTTGTGTGTAAGGGATGCATTGTGTGAATCTGTGTTTGTATGCATAAAGGATGCAAGGTGTGTGTCTGTATGTGTGTGCATTGAGTGTGTGTAAGAGATGCATTGTGCTTATGTGTGTACAGTTGCAAGAAAAAGTATGAGAACCCTTTGGAATCATATGGATTTCTGCACAAATTGGTCATAAAATGTGATCTGATCATCATCTAAGTCACAAAAATAGACAATCACAGTCTGCTTAACCCCTTAAAACCGGAGGACGTACAATTACGCCCTCTAATAGGCGGCTCTAAACGCCGCCGGGCGTAATTGTACGCCCTCCGGTTTTTGTTAACTTACCCGGTCGCCGGCGGTCCCACGCCGGCGATCGCGGTGGGGGGGACTCCCAGGGAGCCCCCCGCGGCACATCCATCCTCGTTGAAGCCCCCCGGCCATGAGAGAGTGGGGTCCTAGCGAGGACCCCACAATCACATGGCCGGGGATAGCTGGCTTCTGTATTGCCGGCAGGGGGGCTGCCTGTAATGACAGGTGGTCCCCCTGCTGGCTGAAAATAAAAAAAATTAATGGTGTAAAAAAAATAATTATATATACTTAGATCATATATATATTATATATATATGATCTAAGTATATATACACATATACATACACACACGTACACCGTCTAGATCAAATTACACGTAGACTGATACCAAATATATATAGATGTGTGTTATTTCGTTCTAACTGTTTTGTGCGTAGAACGCATAAATATATACGGATATATACACATGTATATATATACATATATTAATTCTACATATATATTTATGTAATATTTTTACATAATTAGGTATCTTAATTAATTACAATTAATGCCTGACAACCCATGCGAAAGTAAAGGGAATTTAATTTGCTAGCACTATATTTAACCCTATAACTTTCCAGACACCATAAAACCTGTACATGGGGGTACTGTTCTACTCGGGAGACTTCGCTGCTGTTTCAAAACAGTAAAATGTATTACAACGATGGCCAGTAAAAGTGAAGCATTTTGAAGAGTAATCACATTCTTGTGGCTGCATGGGGAACAGCTGTTAATGTAATGCTTGCAGGACGGCCAGCTGCAGAACCTCTTTGTTCCCGTCTCTGCTGCTAGGCACTGCTTGTTGTGAGTGTGAGCCACTGTAAATTAGGGGCAGAGGGCACTTGCACTGCGGTAAAGACAGGTCTGGGCAGGAGGAGAGTGCAGTGCAATTAGTGCACTCCCCTCCTGTGGGTCACCAGTAGACTGGTGCACCTGCCCAGGATCAGAGCCAGTGCAAGGATTTTTGCCGCCCTAGGCAAAATAAAAATTTGCCGCCCCCCCATGTGACATCACAATGCCCCACCCATATGATCTGCCAAATGAATTAATGCTAGTGCTGCACACAGTGTGTATTTACATTAAAAAGCCTGCAGGGACCGGCTATAGACACCAGAACCACTTCATTAAGCTGAAGTGGTTCTGGGAACTATAGTGTCCCTTTAATGTGAGGTAAATTATAGATTAGTGTCACTAATAA